GTAGCTGGAGCATGGACGGAAGACTAGCACCCTGAAGAAAAAACAATCTTAGTTTGAAACCATGACAATTAATAATTAACGATTATTGCTGTTTCACTTTCGGTGGCACCTGTTGTTACCAATATGTGGAAAATCGGCATGTTTTTGTGTATAAATTGTTGGAAAGAGTTCACCCGAGTTGAACAGAATGAAGAAATCAATGGTATTAATGGACCAATGAACATAATAAATGCTCATTCATCTTTTAAAGCAAGCTGTTACTTTCCGGTCGCAACAGCATCTACAACAGGAGGCTTCTCAAATGATGAGGGAAAACACTATCATTGCAGAAACCAGCCGCCAAAACAGACAAACTCAATGGTTTGGAAGTTTGGATTCCAAGGGGCAATAATTCCTAGTCTTCCATAAAATCTAGCATTGTGATCCATACTGTGCCCTCTGATTTGCGTATCATCTGTCGCACTACTAGGAGGATGCACCTAGTGAGTTTCTTCTGTAACGTCCTTATCACAAGTTCTATCATAGAAAAAAATGCCTGAGATATTTCTGAGATAGCGTTTATAACGCAGAAAATCTTAACATATATAAAATTATAGAAGAGATGCATAATGCCTGATCAGGCAAATGAACAGTTATATGACGACGACGGTGTGAATCAAACACTTTGTAACGGGTAAAGTATCACAATTATGGGCAAATTTGTCTTTCTAATTTAGTATGTCATAGAAGTTGATAACGAAGATGACAAAAACAACTAGATTTGCAATCCTCGGCGGTACTTTATGATTAGGTACGCTTGTTTCGAAAGAAACTTTTAATCAGTTAGAAAACGAGGGAAAGATTCAGCACAAACAGGAAGATACTGATAAGGAATGGAACCATTAATTTGATTAAGTCTGTATCTGAACTTGAACTTAACGGAACGGGCTACCTCTAACCTTAGTGCACAAGTCGTAGAGACTGTGGAACACCTTTTCCCTACTAGCGACAAACACTGGATATTAACCTTGAGGTGATGGGATAACGGGGAAGTGGCAGAGGAAGAACGAAAAACCCTTTTAAGCCTTTAAAATAAATATACACAAAAGAAGCACACCGATGATAAATGCAGATCGAAGAAATTGAATCTAGAATCCAGAAAATCTCCGAAAAAGCGGGAAATGAACACATTTTCATCTACCAGCACATGGATGCAGTGTTTGCATTCATCACCGCAACTGCTACAACACAATGGATATGCCGTTTAATAACACGGTCCCTTATGCGTCGAAAAACGGATGTTATGCAAATTTACGAAGTTTATAAAGAACTCGATGGCTGCGAAATATACAACACAAGAACGAGACTATATTATGGGACCAAATAAAATGAATATTTCCAGAATTTTTTTATGTCGGAAGATATACAAGACCCTGGTAATTCAATCAAACCAATGCATGAATAAAGACCTTTGAAGAGAACCAATTTCGTAGAGGAAAGAAACTGTGAAGCAGCTCACACTATCGAGCTCACACGAATCGAGCATGATCAGAAACGTTGAAGATGTATATAAAATCGATATGAAGTTTACTGTAAAACGTACATCATTTCTTTATGAAGGAGATGATATAACCTTTTGGTAAATCAAAAACGAGAGGATAAAGTATAAAATGTTCTTTAATTAGAGAAATCTGACTTTCGTACCAAGCTCAGCAATGCCCTTGACACTGTACTCTGAAGACGGAGCGAGCTTGGTCCAAAACGTCAGATGCCCCTAATTAATGAAGTTTATTGGTATATTATTAACCAGAAGTTTGTATTTACTGGCAAATGATAGTATTTCTCTAAAAAACATGAATGGTATCCCAGGGCTCTTGAAGCAAGTGAGCGGTGCGATTATAGTGCACAAATCCAAATGAGTAATAAGACTGCCAGAAGAAGCCCTGCTCCGTGGTACGGAGAAATTGATTGATAGAGACGGCTGTGCTAGAGTTCACAGAGGTTGAATGCTTCAAAAGGGCGAGTTTCATAGAACTGTCACATAGGGCCCTTTTAACAAGGGGTGAAAGGAAAAGGAACAAAGGGCAAAATCGAAGTCGTGATTAAAATGTTGATTAGCGTCCCATTCAAGACGTCTGGCAATTATGCCGACAGCCAACACCTCTGCCAAGAATCAGGGGTAACTCCGTCACCAACACACGGATTGATCAAAAAATTATACCATAATATCCTATGTTGATTAATACTGTCAAACACAAGG